CGCGGAGCTGAAGGCACTGGAATCATGCAACACATGGGTCCTAGTCGATCGTGCAGTAGTGAAGGGGAGGAGGGTGCTAAGCAGAAAGTGGGTTTTTCATCTGAAAACTAACGTTGATGGCACTATCGAGCGCTTCAAGGCACGCTGGGTTGTACGCGGGTACGACCAGCGTCATGGCATTGATTTTGATCAAACCTTCGCTCCCGTCAGTCGTCACACCTCAGTTAGGATCCTACTTGTCATTGCCGCCGTTAAGCACTTGCCACTGCGGCAGATCGACATCAAGAACGCGTTCTTATACGCGCTGGTGGATGCAACCATCTTCATGGAGCAGCCACATACCTACGGGGAAGGAGACCTCAGGGCCTATCAGCTGAAGAAACCCCTCTACAGGATAAAGCAGGCGTCGCGCCTCTGGCAACAACATCTGCACAAAATCCTCCTGGAAATCGGCTTCAGGCAGCTGTCGCACGACCCGGGAATGTACCACCTCCACTTCAACAGCGATTACATCCTCCTGACCGTCTATGTCGACGATCTACCCTACACAGGCACCTGCAACAGGCTCCTTGACCAGTTCGAGGAGAACCTGGCGCAGCGCGTTGACATCACCATCATCCACAATGTCACACAGTTTTGGGGGCTGGACATCACCTACGTGCCAGAAGCAATTCACCTGTCACCCTCCAAGTATGCAGAGCAGCTAGGGGAACGCTTCAACATCTCACCCGCATCGCTGTCAACTCCTTATCGCAACCCCAGCGCCAACTAGGAACTGGACAACAAACCTCTGTCGCCCGCAGGACTCCAACTGTACAAGCAGCAAGTGCGATGTCTGCTATTCGCCTCTGTCTCATGCCGACCCGACCTTTCGTATATCGCCAGCCAACTGGCACAGTACTTTCGCAAGCCAGTAGCTGAGAACCAGTTGGACCTGAAGCGAGCCCTGCAGTTCTTCATTTCCACACCTGACATCGAGCTCTCCTACTCCACGCTGACGACAACCTCATTCAACCTCAACGGCTACGTGGACGCAGATAATGTCGCTGATTCTGCGAATCGACGGTCACGAACCGGCTTTGTCTTCCGATTGGAGCCAACAGGACCAATCTCCTGGAACTCACAGAAGCAGGAGCTGGTTGCCCTGTCATCGGTTGAAGCATAATACATCGTCGCGACAGCAGTAGTTCGCGAAGGCCTGCAGGAGCTGCTGTAGGAAGCGAAGATCCCAACTTCGCCTACCTTTAGCCTTCACTACGACAACCAGAGCGCCATGAAGATCGCGAACAAGCCAAGGTTTTTGAACCGCACGAAGCACATCGTACTTCGGTACTTTTTCGTCCAAGACGAAATTGACCAGGGCAAAGTTGATCTCGCGTACTGCCTCACTACCGAGATGGCAGCCGAATTCCTCACCAAGCGACTGACACGTCAGCAGTACAAGCACTGCTTCGACCTCACCGGAGTAGTTAAGCGAGTCAGGTTCTTGCACGCCCAGGAATGAAGGGGAGTGTTACGATATGAAACCTTATGAGAAGACATTCATATATGCTATATGAGTCGACTCTACCGAGTATAAGTCGAGGAGTCAGAAGAGTCGAAGCGACGCTGGTAACCATCTGACCAAGACCGATGCATGCAGAAACATTTGAAGTGAAAAGAGCGGGAACATGTTTGAAACGGGTTCCCGCGCCGCACGATTTTGAACTACGATGCAATGAGGGAATGTACCCCTTATTGTACATGGCTAGCCTAGGTATCTTCGTATTCCTTTGTATTTCCTACATAAACTCGATGTATGCATGCTATAATTAATCTCCGTCATTTATATTCACTCTGACCTGATGTCAATATTTCCGCTGCAACACAACTCTGCCATCAATCCTGATTGATCCTTTGCTAAGTCCCACTTGAGATTGTAATATTGGCGAAGCCCCGTTAGCAGTAACGGGCGAACAACGACTCCTGCTGTACGCGATATTGACGGTCGCAGTAAGGAATGTCGAGAATATTCCTTATAGTAATTGATATCTCTAGTAAACTTCACGCCTAGTCGTTATTTTGTTTTTGGGTTAAATAGATTATCAAACGTAGATACATCCACAGTCGTAACTGCCTATCAAGCGGTGGAGTACAACTGTGTGATTCGGTGGAAGCGCTCGCCGAATCGCATGTACTTTCAGCAGCAGAAGGGAACATCGTGCGCCTGGCTTATCCAACCCAGCCCAACCAGAACATCTGACCCGAGTTGGTCCGTCGGAGACTCATCTTGCACCTCACTACAGTAGCAAGCTCCTCCACTCTCCTTCCTCCTTGTGCGGTAGTGCGCCCCCCCACTTCTCGGCTTTCCTTTGTCAACGCTGCCACCAATCTGATCTGCTTGTACCATTTTCTTGGTGCCCTGAAGTCGCTGGAGCGCCTCCGTCGCCACCTTGGTCACACGTTTCGCTGCCACCACCGCCACTGCCGTATATCGCTCCGCCCTATCACTCCTCCCTTGATCATCACATCCTACCACACTCCAATCATCTCATCTTACCGTAAGCGACAGACACTATATTCCTGACGCCGCATCGTGCCATGCGTCTCGTCCGCCGTTGTCGCTGGCGCCACATAGCGCACCCCATTCTCCTGGTCGCCTGGCACACCGCTAACAACCCTCCAGTACCTCGTTCTAGCGGCGTAGTGGAGTGTGTGCATCTCAGGTGCAAGCTACGAAAGCAGCCGGGAATTTTCTGTCGTTTTCTGCGTCAAGATAGGCTACGTGTCGACATTCCACTGTCACGCCACAGCACACGGCACAGTCCCAATATCCTCATGACAGCTGTGACAGCTACACAGCCCGCCCAAGCCGATCTCCATAGGAAAAGAAAGTGGCACTCGGTATTTCTCGGTTCTGGCCGGATCCATTGGCAACGCCATGTACGTGAGAATGCGATCACGCGAGCCCCATTTTGCGTCCACGGCGGTGCGCGATCCATTGGGAACGGTTCGCACCCACGACTGGAGTGCCCCATCATAGAAAGGCCGCGGCGCAGTGCCGTCATGATGCTCGACAAAACACCCATATTTCTCTCATAAATCGCGAACCTCGTGTAAGCTGCACGGTGTCCATCGTTCCAACATCCATCCACAGAGCTCGTAGCTTTCACGGAGGTTTTCCGGGCTCTTAGTTTTGCCGCTTCTGTGCTCCTCCGCTTCTGCAGCTTGTGCGCCCTTAGGCGGATTAGGCCCTTAGTGCCGGCTTCTCCGCCCTCCCCAACCCGCGTCCTCCACAGTCCTCCTTCCGTTCAGTTCCGCGCCGCTGCCAGATGACGTGTGTCACTGGCTTCGTAGCGCGAACAGATTTGATCATATTCTGAGACGGTCCCACGTGCAAGTCTCAGACAAAAAACGTCGTCGCTGCAGCGGGTTACGATCCAGCAGCACTAGTAGTAGGGACGCAGACTCGAGCAATGGCGGGTACGGCGAGCTGCTGCTGCTTCCATCGCTGTGGCCGGCGATCAACGGTGCTGCCTCGTGTCGTGCAGCAGCAGCACACCCGGGAGCAGCAGTACCTCAAGGCTCTACAGCATGATGACAAGAGAGAGGGGCAAAGGCGAGTAGCAGAGCAGCAGCAGCAGCAGCACGGAATGCAGCTTGCGGAGCCACCAATTTTTCCCGATTCCACCAATGCCAAGTGCTCTAGTTCTGCCGAAACCCCAACTCCGAAGAACCGATTCGCATGCCGCTGCTCCCGCTGCACGCACAAGTTCGGCGCTGAGGGCCGGCTGCTGTGCGAGTCGGCGTGGCGAGAGCACTGGCGGGCGCGAACGGCGGAAATTATGCGCAGGTGGGATGAGCGCAAGCGCACTCGACAGGTCGTTGTTCCTGCGGTTTCTGACCAAGAGTCTGGCGTGGCAGGTGGGCGTAGGGAAGGTCACGAGGAGGAGGATACGGACAGTAGCCGCGAGTGGAGCTGCTGTGTGTCTGAAGCATCGAGCGGTGACGCGATTGCACAGAGTCTGTGCGGGCGAAATGCTGGCACGAGCGAGCTGTCGAAAAACAGAACGTTGCTGGTTACAATGTTGCTGAATCAGCTGGTTGGAAGACTGGTGCCGGTGGTGGAGGCTCTCAGGCAACGGGGTATCATGGTCGCAAAGAGGAAGCGGGAAGCGGATAACGAGGCAGGAGGAGTGGTGCTGGAGGAGGTGGAATCCCCACCCCCATTCAAGAGGGGGAGGAGTGAGCCTCAGGAGTCACCAGAGGGGGGAGCAGACATGGCATAAATGCTGTCGGAAAGGAGGTGTGTCTGGGGGAGTTCCCCTGTGTGGATGGAGTGAAGCCATCTTCGTATTCAGTATACTGCACATGCCAACTTCAAGGCATTGTGTGTCAAAAGCTAATTGGCCATTCATTCACATGGCCATAATTATACTTGGTCTCCTTCACTTGCGAGGAGCAATGATAACATGCATCAGTTTATTTAATTCGATCTAACATCCCATTTGTTTTTCTCAATGGTCCTTATTGATGTATGCTATGCTACAGTTTATAACACACTGTACTGAAGCTATGCTGACGAAGGAACTCACATACAAAGTGATCGCGTTTCTAATGACACCTCGTTCAAGGGTCATCTCCCGCCACGTGGATCGCCACGTCGATCCCGATGTGAATGCATCCCACGTCCAACTATGGGTCTGTTCATGCTCCCTCCCATCTTCTATTCCCCCCCCCCCCCCCCCCCCCCCCCTCACACTCACTCGCAACTCCAGTCAAGACTCCACCACTCCCCTCCCTCCCTACCCCACCTCCTCCTGCACAGAGATCGCGCCGCGATTGCAACGACACTCTCGTCCTGTTGTCAAAATCAACTGCGGCTTTTCTGTTTTTTTGCTCTCCTTGATCTGAACTCTTCCCCAAGCCCGTGCAATTCAGCTTTCAGAATAAGAGCAGGTCCTAGGTCCTTCGGTTCTTAGACGTGTGTCGGCATCGCCTTGTAAACCCAATTCGCAATCATGGCTTCCTCCCTGTCGCTAACTTCCGACGTTGTTTCAAAGCAATTGCGGGTTCTGGACAGCAGCAGTTCCGTCTCGTCTAGCAGCCTATTAAAGAGTCAATTCGCCAGCAGCACGCGCAGCGCTGCCAGCGCGCGCGTGTGTGTGCGATGCAGCGCGACGGATGATGGTCGCAGCGCGGCCACGGTCGTTAATGGCGCGGTACGGAGAATCTTTGCGCTGTGCCTTCGTCTCGCGTACAAGCCTGGGCCGTTCATTTTATTCGTAATTGATTTCAACTCTATATCCCCCAACGACTTCCCCCTCCCCTTCCCCTCCTCCCCACTACCCCCCTCTCTTCACCCCTTCCCACCCCAACACCCCTCTCCGTCCTTCCCCCTCACAATTCTCCCCACGCCCCCCTCCCATTGCCCCCCCTGCAAACCCTCCGCCCCGCATATTTACTGTTAAATTCCCCCCCAGTCGCACTCGTCCGCCACCGCGGACCTCCCTTCGCGCTACCGCAGCGCCATGGAGCGATCGCGCGCAATCGCGATGCACAAGGCCGACGAGGCCGCCGCCGAGGCTTCGCGGGATGCGCCGGTGGCGGCGGCGGCGCCGGTGGTGCTGGAGCGCGTGAGACTGGTGGCGGGCCAGGAGGAGTGCGGCGGGTGCGAGGCGGCGGGGTCGGTGCCTTGCGCGACATGCGCGGCGTCCGGGTTGTACGTGGATCCTATCATGGAGTGCCAAGGCATCATCGTCAAAGTGCGCTGCCTCGGTACGTGCTCGGGGGAGGGGGGGGGGGAGGGGAGGGGAGGGGAGGAGAAGGGGAGGGGAGGGCAGGGGAGGAGAGGGGAGGGGAGGGTTGGTGGGTACAGGGGGAGAGCGAGTAAGGGGAATGAACGGGGGGCGTCCCAGGTGTTATGTCCATCTCGCCAGTTGTGGTGTTTAGGTTGATGTTGAACTTATATGAAGGTTCATGCATGAGGAACAGTGAATTTGGTGCGCTACGCTTCTTCTTTTCATCTGTAAGTTAGCAATCTGTCAACACCCCTCCCTTTTCCCCCTTTCCCTCTTCCCTCTCCCCTCCTCCTCCCCCTCCCCCCCCCCCCTCCCCCACCCCTCCCCCACCCCTCCCCACCCACCTCTCAACCTCTTTCCCACGTCCATCCTCTGATTTCGTGCCTGGCCTCCCGCACGTTGCCCCCACCTGCCTCATCCACCCATTCTGTTGTGATATATTTTCCTCGTGTCATGCCTTACCTTCTCACCCAATGAGTCTTTCGTCCGGTATCTTTACACCTTTCCCCTCGGCACATGGGCCCTCTTGCCTTGCTTCACTAATTCCCTTGCAAGACCATTTGTTCCATTTGCTTGATTGTTTTGTGGCCTCAATTTGCTCATGCTGTTCCCAAGATTTTGTGTATCCATGAATTTCGCCCCAGGCTGTGGTGGTTCGGGCTCTCTTCTTTGCCCGAAGTGTGGTGGACGCGGTCATAAGTAAACACAGGAAGCTATGTTGTTAACCACACATTGAAAGTTATGTGGTTTGTAGAACCAGATCGAATATGATTCTGTACTTCCCAATAATCAGGTGGAGTTGAGGTGTAGCTGCAAATGCGTTGGACTTGGAAGTGTACTTCCGCGCTGCGTCTGTTTGATGCAATAACCCGAACCAATCTCGAGGTCCACACCAATCTCGAGTTTCCCACTCTGCGGCCGTCAACGCTCTGCACCGTACTAAAACTCAATTTCATAAGGGCGCGTGTGGTCTGTTTGGAAGTTCAAAATAAAGTTCTAACTTTGGGTAGTTACCCTATTCGATAATTTCGCGAAGGGTGCTTAGCGAACCAAGCATTGTATGGGCTCTGAAAAAGTTCGAGTTTGGAATATGAACTTGACTCGAGTCGGAGGCGGGAGCGTGCGTGCGCACGTTCATGCGAGCGTGTGTGATTCGCAGCACGTCCGAACAGCTGGCGAAACGGGCGAGCGCTTTGCCAGTGCATGAAGTTGCACAACGAAGACACCCCACAATTCGTGCACGCAGTGGTAGCCACGTGTCCAGCATCGTGGCACGTTCGAGCACGATGTGTTGCCACGGGGGCTATTTGTACCCTGGTTACACACTCGGCGCGGAAGGTGAGTTGGAGCTCTAGGTCCTTGTAAACCGAGGCGCAAAATGTTGACGTGGCGCACTGTCAAGACAAGCGAACCGGGTAACCTATGATGTTGACGTGCGGCTCGGCTCGTTTTTACAAGTTCGAATGTCGGGGTTCGACCTTGTATGTGTGTGTGATTTTTTACAGTGTGGTAAGCCCGATGTTCGAACTTAGAAGGAAATTCGAACTTCTTCGTTGTAAGTTCAAAACTAAAATTCGCCCTAAAAACATAAACTTTTACAAATTTCAAAGACCACACACGCCCTAAGCAAATCAAACGCACACAACCCCAAGGGCGTGCAACATCCTGCGAAATATACGCGGTGCATTTCTGTATTGTTGTGCTACGGAAATATTTAGTACGGTTCGACTCCACGCCCTGCTTTTCACACCCAGGCAATGCACGCACGCACACAACACAACACGCCACTCGCGCTTCGCAGACCAGCGCACACAGACTGGTCAGACTAGTCCTAGTTTATATGGGGCAAACCCTTTCTCGGCCATTCACAGTCGCTCAGCATTGATCTGGAAGTCATTACATTCGTCGCCATAAGGTCGTCACCGATCGCCGCCGTCAGTTCTCCTTACATGGCTGCGTCGCCGTCCAGAGGCCTGCCGGCCGACATTCTCCTAAACGGCCACCGCGTGCACGCATGGCTCCGCGTTCCCCCCGCCGAATCCGCTGCATCTCCCGCCGCAGGTGCCGGCGCGCCCGCCTCGGAAAAGTCCGTCATCACCTGGACGCCGAAAACCGCTGCTGACGTGGCAGGAGCAACGGTCGGATCGCAGCTGGTCGCGGGATCCATATCTCTAGATTCGGATCTGATCGGATTTAGCGCGACAGGCGCTTCGACGATCACTCTCCGGCTGTTTAAACTCCCGACGACGGATTCTACGGGCGCGGGAGTCGCGGCGCTCTCTATGTGCACGACGACACGTGCACACAGCCGGCGGCGCGAGAGGGAGGACGTGCTGGTGGAGTTTAAGAATGCGGAGGAGCATGAGCGGTGGGGCGAGGAGCTGCAGCGATGGAGGCGGACGAATGGTGGGTGTGGGAGGAGAGTGTGGGGTGCGTGGGTTTTGAAGCGCCCAAAATGTCGTCTTTTGAGGCGCCTCGAAGCAGGAGCATGAGCGGTGGGGCTAGGAGCTAGAGCTGTGGAAGCGGACAAATGGTGGTTGGGGTAGAGTATGGGGGGCGCGGGGAAGGGGAATGGAGCGCAAGGAGCGACGATGAGAGGCAAGAGAAGCTGTGGATAATATTCAGTCTACCCTCGTCTCTCCTTCCCTCGGCCCCATTCCCCCTTCTGCCGTCTCCATACGTGTCCCCTTCTCCCCTCTCTCTCCCTACTCCCCTTTCTCCCCCTCCTCCCCCTCTCTGCGCAGGCCGGCCTTCGTCGCTGCTAGTGGTGCTGAACCCCGTGGGCGGCAAGGGCGTGGCGCGGGACATCTACAAGCGGGACGTGGAGCCGCTTCTCAAGGCCGCTGACGTCAAGTACGAGCTCATCGGTACGGCCTGTGACGTCAGCAGCGGGAACGGTGATGTCAGCGCTGTGAATGAACCGCACTCTTGGGCGTGCTCGTTTCATCCCCTGCTCGTCTCTTCTCCCCATCACCTCACCTCACCCACCTCTCGTCGTCGCGTCTAATCCACGTGCGGCCATGCGGTTCATTCATGGGCATGGCATGGCAGAGACGCTGCGGTACCGGCACGCGTTTGACATTGGCAAGGACATGCGCGTGGGGCAGTACGACGGGGTCGTGTGCATTGGCGGCGATGGCATTCCCGCCGAGGTGAGGAGGAGGGGAAGAGGGGGAGGGGGGTTGTGCGATGCGGGGAGTTGGAGGAACGGGGAAAGCGAGAGGAGAGTGGGAGAGGAGTGGGCATGGAATGACTGAGGTGTGGGAGATTAGACAGGGAGGATTGGTGTGCACTGGGATGGGATGGTTTGGCGTGGGACGGTTCTAGAAGAGATGGGATGCCTGGCAGTGTGATGTGAATCGATATGTTGTGAACCCCATCCCATCCTTCCCTTCCCATCCCATCCCATCTCATCCCATGCCATCCCATCTCATCCCATCCCATCTCATCCCATCTCATCCCATCCCATCTCATCCCATCCCATCCCATCCCATCCCATCCCATCCCATCCCATCCCATCCCATCCCATCCCATCCCATCCCATCCCATCTCATGCCATCCCATCCCATCCCATCCCATCCCATCTCATCCCATCCCATCCCATCTCATCTCATCCCATCCCATCCCATCCCATCCCATCCCATCCCATCCCATCCCATCCCATCCCATCCCATCCCATCCCATCCCATCCCATCTCATCCCATCCCATCCCATCCCATCCCATCCCATCCCATCCCATCTCATGCCATCCCATCCCATCCCATCCCATCCCATCCCATCCCATCCCATCTCATCCCATCCCATCCCATCCCATCTCATCCCATCCCATCCCATCCCATCCCATCCCATCCCATCCCATCCCATCCCATCCCATCCCATCCCATCCCATCCCATCTCATCTCATCTCATCCCATCCCATCTCATCCCATCTCATCCCATCCCATCCCATCCCATCCCATCCCATCCCATCCCATCCCATCCCATCCCATCCCATCCCATCCCATCCCATCCCATCCCATCCCATCTCATCCCATCCCATCCCATCCCATCCCATCCCATCCCATCCCATCCCATCCCATCCCATCTCATCCCATCCCATCCCATCCCATGGTTGTGTTGCGCGGTACAGGTGCTGAACGGGCTGCTGGCGAGGCCTGACTGGAGAGAAGCCATCAGGACACCGCTGGGAGTCATACCAGCAGGTGACCTTCTTCAGCTGCAAGCCACACGGCTTTTGCCTTTCTGTGCTTGTTTCACCAGCTCTCGTTTCCATTCTCTCCGCCTCTGTGCCTGCTCCCTCTCAGCTCTCCGTGAACCTAATTCTCTGATGCTTGTAAGTTGCAACATCTGTTGTTCATCAGCAATTCGTGGAAGGCGTCTGTTGCATCTTGAGCCGTCTCATTGCGTTTCATCAACAGATGTTACAAGCAGATGGAAGACAAAGAGAACATTGCAACATTGCACCATCTCAACCCCTGTCACCCTTCGTTTCCCCTTTGCATCCCTCTTCTCCCCCTCCTCTCCTGGCCCCATCCCGGGCCCTCTGCCCGCCTCCTTTCTCTCCTCTTCTCCCGTGCCCATTCCCCTCCACCATGCCATTAGGCTCGGGCAATGGCATGGCTAAGTCGCTGCTACACGCGTCAGGGGAGGAGTGCACGCCACAGAACGCCACACGAGCCGTTATCCTCGGTAAGAGCTGACCTGTTTAAGCATGAAACCATACAGCTCGGTACTGCAACAGATTTTCCCGTTGCTTGAATGCAGTGTTTTTTTTTTTGTGCTTGAAGTGACCCTCCTCTTCGTTCCCCTCTCCTTTTTTCTGCTCCCTCTCACTTGTCCCGTTTACCCTCTGCTCTCTTGGTAATTTTTCCTGTTTTAACCCTCTCTTTTCGTCATGACCCTGCTTCCACGCCTCACCCTCTCTCTCTCTCTCTCTCTCTCTCTCTCTCTCTCTCTCTCTCTCTCTCTCTCTCTCTCTCTCTCTCGAACGGTCCTTCGTATTAATATCGCCAAGGTACACATAGGGTAAGGCAGCAATCCACACACAGCACAGCTACTGTATCAATCTACCATCCAAACACAACTACACCCGCCCCCTTCCCCTACCGGCCCTAGTGGCCGGAGGGGTCTTCTATCAATTGGTACAGCTGGCCCTCGTTCAGTGGAGTGAACGGTCCCTGCAGGCCTAGCACATCCGCGGTAAGAGCCTCATGGGTCTCTCTCTCTCTCTCTCTCTCTCTCTCTCTCTCTCACTCTCTCTCTCTCTCTCTCTCTCTCTCTCTCTCTCTCTCTCTCTCTCTCTCTAAATATATATATATATGATATATATATATATGAATATATATAACCTCCCTGTCACTATGGCATGCCTTACCACACCACACCACCCGGCACCACACTGCACCGCATCACACCGCGTGGCACCATGGGATGATGGGCATGGTGCATGCAGGGCGCAGCACAGCAGTGGACGTGGGCACGGTGTCACAGCCCCATGCGCTCTTCCACTTCATTCTCAACGTCAACTGGGGTCAGTGGCTCTGTCGACTGGTTCGTCAATCACTCAGTTGGCTAGTCGGTCTGTCAGTCAGTCAGTCGGTTAGTCACTTGGTCGTATTGCCACTCAGCTGGTGAGACAACAATGCTCCCCGCATTGCATCGCTCTTCTTGCTGTGGCACCCATCATACACCAAGCAAGAACGGCGACTCTTGGCGATGCCTGCAGCTTGTGCACGTCTTGTTGTTGTGATGCAGTAAGCAGGCAACTGCGTTTTTACATCCAATACCGCACAAGGCAGTTGCCTGCTTACTGACCTCACTCCCCTCCTCCCCCGCTTTCCAATCTCTTCTGTGTGTGTCTGTTTGTGCATGTTTATTTACACCTGCATGCATGTGCGCATATGTGCATGTATCTTTGTGCGCATGTGTCACAACAGCATTTGTGAGCGATGTGGACATAGAGTCGGAGGTGTATCGCTGGATGGGGGGCTTCCGCCTCACCTTCTATGTGAGCACATGCTCTGCTCGCACCCCACACCCCTCTTTCCATCTCTATCCTCATTCTACCCTCACTCTACCCTCACTCACCCTCGCCCTACCCTCACTGCATCACTCTGCATGCATTCGTTGCTTTGAAACGGTCATGATTATCCCATCAGTGGCACCTCTCACGTACTCCGTCCAACATTTCATGGTTGCTGCTTTTGTCCCCACGGCTTCCCACTCCTCTCATCCCTCCACTCCACACACTCCTCCAACCACCCACAACCTTTTTGCCCTCCCCCAACCCTCCCCAAACTATGTACCTACCCTCTCTCTTTCCATCTCACTCATCCAACCCACCCACCCTCCTACCCTTCTACCCTCCCACCCGCCTGCCCACACTCTACCCAGTCTATCATCCGCATCATCAACCTGAGGCGCTACCACGCGCGCCTCTCCTACCTACCTGCCGCGGCCTCCTCCGCCCCCGCAACCCCGGGCGCGCTACAGCCGGAGGAGCGCGAGGGCAGTGTGTACGCGGGCGTGCCGGCTGCGGCTCTAGGGGATCCGGATGCGTGGGTGACTGTGGAGGGGGAGTTTGTGCTGCTGTGGTGCCAGAGCACTGCCTGGGCTGCAGAGGCCATGCACATTGCGCCGCAGGCGGAGGTGTGTGTGGAGGAGGGTATGGGGGGGAGAAAGAGGTCGGGGTGAGAAGGTTGCACAAGTCTTTTTTTGAGATGTCTCGAAAACAGTTTGTGCTGCTGTGGTGCCAGAGCACTGGCTGGGCTGCAGAGGCCATGCACTTTGCCCCGCAGGCGGAGGTGTGTCTGTGAGGAAGACGGGGGGGAAGAGGTGGGGGTGAGATGGGTGCGTCCTCACGTTCTTCTCATACTCGTCTCTCTCCTCTCCATAACCTGATCGCTCTCCCTCTTGCCCCGCAGCTCCCTCTATCCCGTCTCCCCCCTCCTCCCCATCATCCCCCTCCTCCCCCTCCCTCCCATCCGCCCTGTCTGTCTCCCTCTCCCCATCCCCCCATGCAGCTATCAGACGGGTGTTTGGACATGATAGTGGTGCGGGAGTGCACGTCCATGCAGCTGCTGGAGCTCATGATGCAAATGGAGGAGAACAACGGCAAGCACCTCGCCAGCCCGCTGCTGCAATACATCAAGGTATCCACCGGCCTGCACTGCCTGACTGATCGTGCTGAAGGTGCTCCTGTTGTGCGCGCCGAAGTGCCACAGTCGTACCTGATGGAATGTGGATTGGTATGTGTTAGATAGACACACCTTGACTTGCCATCTCTTGGTTCTGTGCTGATGCTCGTTGCACTAGCGCTTGCTCGCATCACAAAGCCCGCTCTCCGTCTCTTGCCTTTCTCATCCCTGTCCGCAAACTCGTACCTGATGGTTCACCACCTCCCCCTCCTGCTATGTTGAACCTTAACCCAAAACCTTACAGGTGCGAGCATTGAAACTTGAGGCTGGGGGGAGAGTGCGCCAAGAGCCGGGGCGGGGAGGGATAGTGGCGGTGGATGGCGAAGTGGTGGCCAGGGGGGTGGGCGCATTTGGGTTTGAGTCAGGAAAGGACCCCATGGATTACGGAGTGCCTTTCCATGTTACGATGAACCCTGGGTTAGCCCGACTCTTCACGCTGCCTTCGCTCTCCTCCAACACGTCCTCTCACACATAAACGGTTTCTAATCATGATGCATGCGCGTTTCCTGGTTCTAGCTGGGTGTGGAGATGAAGGTGCTTTCCTGCTGTGTTCAGTGTATGCGTTTTCTAGTATATGGCCTTTTTCAAGCTGTGGATAAACAATTTATAGTACCAGCCTGTTGGCGTATGGGGTTAGCTTCTACTGAGTACATGTGTCCAGGGGGGCTGGAGGGCTGGTTGGCGAGCTTTCACGAGTATTCGTCATCAATTGGCTAATAAGGACGAGCGTATCCTACTTGCCAACGGCAGAACCTTACGGAATTGTATCTGATTGGAGGAAAATTGTTTCCAATACGTTTGTTTCACAGCTGAACCCGTTTGTTTTCTGGTAACCACTGACAGCCGAGGACTCAAACCTTGTCCTTCCATCTTGTCCATTCATAGCCCCGCCGGATTATTCTCGACCAATCATTTCCTGCCCGTCATTTCTTCCAGCTCTGCCCGACTTCCCTCCCCCTTCATTCTCTTGGAGTTCAGTCACCTCCCCTTCCCAACACTGTTTTTGTTCGGTGTACAATTCTGCATGGCCATAGCGACTCATGCGTGAACTGCAAGCATTAGGTCAGGACTCCGAATTTGCAGACTCAGGGTTGTCGGATTCCTAGTTCTCTGGCGGAGGCTAGGGAAGTGCGCGGTGGTTTGGAGTCCCGAATTGAGGGGCTGCGGGGCGATGAGCTTCGCCACTCCGTGGGTTTCGTCGTCTGCCTCCACGCAAGGCGCATTCAGTAGGGAGGAGGAGGACGAGTTAAAGCGCGAGCGCCTCAACGCGGAGCTTCAGCGCTTGCAGCGGCTTCCGCCGACGTCCATCTACGCGTCGCATCGCATCAGAGTGGCGCGCCGCGCGCTTGAGCTGCTTGCCGCTTCGTCCTCGCAGGTCGGCTGCTCCAGATTGATTCGCTTTGCAAACCTATTGTCAATCTACACGTAGATTGAAAAAAACTACGGGAATGGAAGCAAAAATGCGCCTTTGTCGTTTAAGCTAAGTGTTCCGGTGTCTAATTCGCTATTTCGGTGTGTTCCCTCTGTTCACCGTCAACCACCGCGTGATTTCAGCAGCGTTCCACGGACCAGGAGAGGGAGCTCGAAGCGCTCTTCGCCTCGCTCTCCCTCTAGCAGCCGTCGCTCCGTCCATCCACTTCCGTCCGCTTCCATCCTCGTCCGTCCTTCTTCCTCGTCCTCGTCCGCATTTGTTCGGCACGCCGCAGCGAGGGTAGCGGCACGCATGGCAGCCGCCGTTGGGGTTCGGGCAAGGCAGGGCGGAATGGACGGAGGAGGCGATTTTTTCCTTACGTCGCGGCCATGGCTCAGTACGCCCCTTGCTATCGTTCTTCCTGTTCGTCCTTCTACCTACCCAGTTGAAAGGCGTTGAATCGTTTCTTGGATCTGCGACAACGATAATAATTGTTCTTGTTTATCTCTTCTAGTTCTCTTCCCAGCTCGTAGCTCTGCTTTGGTTCAAACATGCACTCTTTTTTTTTTTTTGAAACTTCTCGTCCTTTTTTCCTACGTTCATCTCCTCCTTGCTTACCAAAACGGCTTTCCATTCCCACCTGCGTCGTCCTCCGCGGCGTGCGCGGCAGGTCTCTACGGCATGCGGGTGCGCGCGGTACCACCGGTTGGCAGCGTGAGTCACGGCGGCGGTGCTCGCGAGAAAGAGACGTCTTTAATCCACCGCGCCCTGCCGGAGGAGCTGCTGGTCGAGGTGAGTCAGCTCTGCTAGCTACCACTAACACTGGTTTCTCTTGTTTGCCTTGCTTTTCTCCTTTTCCCTTTCTTATTTCCTTAAACCGCTTTTTGCTGGTTGAGTGAAATTGAGGCGTGGATTGCTGGTGGAGGGAAGGAAACGTCATGTGGGGCAAGGTTTGGATATTCTAAACCAAAACAACACGAGTTCTCCCTCTTTCCCGCTTTTCACCCTTCGTCCTCCACGCCTCCCCCGCGTGTCCGCCTGTTTCGCCCCTTTTTCCCCCCTCTCCCCCGTAACCCACCTCACGCTCCCCGTTACCCAGGTGTTCGCGCGCCTGCCGGCGCAGTATCTGGGGCGCGTGGCATGCGTGTGCCGCCGCTGGCGCTACACCGTGCGCGCCCCCGCGCTCTGGAAGGAGGCCTGCTTCCGCGCCTGGCAGGTGAGGAGGCGGGGGGGGGAAGGGGAGGGGGAAGGGGAGGGTGGAGAGGGGAGGAGGAAGGGGAGGGTGGAGAGGGGAGGAGGAAGGGGAGGGTGGAGTGGGGAGGGGAGAGGGGTGAGGGGCAGGAGTAATGTGTAGGGGATTAGGGGGATTGGAGAGGGGGCATTGGAGGGCGAGAGGGATGGCGAGAGTGGCACCTGAGAAAGGATTTCCTGGAGGGTTGTGCGTATGCGAAATGGAAACCAGTGTGCGTGGCTTGGGAGACGGTAGACGCTGTCTTGTCAAGGGAATCGGGATGAGCTGGACTGGATTTAAAACGTCTTAATGAGGCAGTGCCTGTGTGGCCTTTGTCCCATTGATGCGGCCTCACGCGTTCTCCTTTGGAATCCTTCTCTCGCCTCTTTCCTATCTTCCCAGCATTCTGTTTTACGCGGACTTTGCTTCTCGTTTTGGAACAACTGACTGCTTTTGAGGCGCCTTAAAATTCCTCTTCCCCATCTACCCAGCATTCTGTTTTACGCGGACTTTGCTTCTCGTTTTGGAACATCTGACTGTCGCATCGCACGCCCTTTTAACTCTTCTCTTTTCTTCAATCCAACCCCCCGTGCTGGTTGCCCTTCGTAAATCAATCCGCCCCCTCCGTCCGTCCGTTCTCCCCATCGTTTCTGCTGCTGCCGCTGCCGCCGCCACTGCTGCTGTCGCTGCTGATGCTGTACGCGTGACAGGATGAGGGCGAGGACGCGCTAAGGTTCTTACAGCGGCGCTTCTTCTCCTCATCATGGCGCACCATGTGGTTGCACCGCCCGCGAATCAGATTCCAAGGTGACAACCTCCTTCCCCCCACCTTTTTACCCTCAGTTTGACCCTCTGCTTTGCCTTTTCCCTGCTCCCCTCGCCCTCGCCTCTCTCCTTTCCCACTCCCCCCTCTCGCTCCCGATTGTGCTTGCCTGCACCACTGCCTTTCATCTTGTCACCCCATTCCCCATCCCGTTCCGACGAAATTCTTTCCCCACCTCCCTCTCATCTCCTTCCCTCCTTTTCCCATTCCGACTGTACATACCCATTAAAAAGCACGTTGAATGCGCAACATCTGCCCACCTTACAGTTTTTTGTGTTACCCCTCCGTATCAGCTCTTCACATTCCCATTCTTTCTCTTCCCCCACCCGCCCCTCACACACCTCAACCCCGCCTGCTGGCGGGACGCATGTGGGTGCTGTGTGTGCGTGTGCGTGTGTGCGTGTGTCTGTGTGTGCGTGTGTGTCCGTGTGTGTGCGCAAGTATGTGTGTGTGTGTGTGTGTGTGTGCGCATGCATTCGTGCGTGCGTGCGTGTATGTGTGTGTGCGGGGCTGTGAGGGCAGGCGTGTACGTGAGTCGCAACACATACCTGCGGTGTGGGGTGGTGGAGTGGCGCAACAAGAGGCCCGTCCACATGGTGAGGGCGGGCGCACTGGAGAGCTTGGGGGGAGGCGCTTGAGCTTGGGGGAGCAGAGGGGTGAGCAGCTTGGGAGGGGGCAGGGGGAAGGAAACTTGGGTAATGGCTGTCAAGGGGGGAAGGGGGTAGTCAGTTTGGGGATAGTTGGCTGGCTTAGGGGTGCCCTGACCTGAAGGTTAGAGGTTTGGGGAGGGGAAGAGGATGAGAGGAGGGAGTAAGTCGAGAGGGTTGCAAGCGCAGGAGGGAGAGCGCAAATGCTTCATGATTTCCTCTGGCAGCGCTACTCCGGCTCCTCAGGTTCCTCATCCGCCAACTTTCTTCCCTTTCCAAGTCACTTTCTTCTCCGTTCGCCTCGATTTTCCATTCTGTCTCTCCTCACTCGTCCCCTTATGCTCGCCCCAATGCCAACCCCTCCTTTCCCCACCTGTCCACCCAGATTTACACTTCCCAACGTTGTCCTCCACGTTTCTCAAAACTGTCCTTGCTTCTCTCTGCCTTTTCTACTTTACAACAGGTGTGCTACTATCGGTACATCAGCTTTCTCCCCAACGGGAAAGTTCTGTACAAGGTATGTGCACTCTCACCACACAAGTGGACGTGCCACATCGCACAGGGCTAGACCACTTACATCCGACTTATTCGATGAACTTCGCGTGTAGTCTCATTCATTGTACCAAGACCTGTTCTTCGCGTGCTCAGGAAAACGCATGCTCTGTTGCCCTTCCCATATCTGTTAATACCCAACATTTCCTGTCCCACTGCCTGTTCTTCCCCTCACCTGCCCTCCCCTCCCCTCCCCCGCCCTGCCGTTCCCTGCCCTCCGAGCATGGTCCCTCACCCCCATAGACCTCCCTTCAGGTGGTGAGGGACGCGGCACGGCAGATGCAGGCAGCGGCGCCTTTTGAGGCGCCTCAAAATTCCCCCTGTTCCACTGCCCATGCCCTCTTGCATCTGCTCTGCCCCGCGCTGCCCTGCGCGCCCCGCCTCTTGCCCCAACAGACGTCCCCCCAGGTGGTGCGGGACGCGGCACGGCAGATGCAGGCAGCGGTGCCTTTTGACGTACCTCAAAATCCCCCCCTGTCCCACTGCCCATTCCCCCCCGCACCTGCTCTGCCCCACCAAGCTTTGCCCTACCCTGCCCTGCGCACCCGTCCTCCCACCCCAACAGACGTCCCCCCAGGTGGTGCGGGATGTGGCACGGCAGATGCAGGCAGCAGCGCACATGCGCTTCCCCTCCTCCAGAGTGCTTGCAGGGGGCACCGATGCTTCCTCCCATGCCTCCGATGGCATTCACCTCGGCCGCTACTCCATCGTTGATGACTCGGTGAGACTAAGAGTAGGGCATTCCGTTCCCGCCCTTCACTGAAGGAAGCAGGCCTTTGCTTCCCACCTGCCGTCCCCATGTCAAGCTATCGCTCTCGCCCCATCAAGCTATCGCTCTCGCCCCATCAAGCTATCACACTCGCCCCATCTATTTATTGCTGGGAGGGAGTTTGCGGTTTCATTCTTTGCCCTTTTTTACTCTTTCCCACTTCCCTCCACTGTCTCCTCAATTGATATGGCATCGCATGGTATGGCTTGGCATAATGTGGCATGGCATGGCATGGCATGGCATGGCGTGGCGTGGCATGGCATGGCGTGGCGTGGCATGGTGTGGCCATGTGTCAGATTCAAGCAGCACTGCTGTATCCGGGCCGACGAGCCACTCTTGTGCAGCTGAAGCTCAGGTATGCACACATCCCCACCTTCACACCGTCCCACCTCCACTTCACACACATACGTTTTTTCCTGTTCCTCCTCACGGCCCTCTCGCGTCGCCCCCCGCCCACCCCCCTGTAACGCCACCACTATGACGCCCCCTGTCCCCAACTCCCACCCATTCCTCTCTCCCTGCTGCTGCTTATGCCTCTCCTCCTCCAGGCTCCGTGGCACATGTGTGGGCGCTAACAACCGCCTGGACGTACTGTCTCTCATCACCGGAGGGGTAGGCCATCAGGCCACCCCCCGCACCCCCAAGGAGGTCGACCTGCTGCTGCAGCAGCACTGCCGGCACAGAGGAGCCGCGAGAGGGAGAGGCGACGGCGAGGCAGAGGGAGGCGGGCAAGGAGGGGAGATTGAGGGGGGAGGCGGGGGAGGAGTGGGAGATGAGGGAGAGGAGGAGAGGGATCCGTTGGAGGTGTTAGCAGAGCTGGATCCGGAGGTGCCTGCTGTGGCTCACCAGAGGGGCACGGCGGCGTTTGTCTTTGTGCCCTTTGAAGATGTGCGTGCCGCCTGGGTGGTCTGGTTTTGGAGGCATCTAGATAGGGGCAGGCTGGCGGGTTGGGGAAGGGGGTGTGCTTGCTTCGGGGGGGCGCGAAGAGTCTTCCACATGGTGTGTGCTTGTGTGGTGTTTCTGGTGCTGGTGCAGTCGCCGGTTCTGTATGAGGCTGTAATCAAAGAGGCCAAATACATGTGTAAGCATGCGCGGGAGACTGTGTGTTGTTGGTGCTTTCGATCTGTCCTTGTTCCGCTGTCATCACGTTGGTTTTGTGCTCCACCTTCAAACTCTTTCCTTCTTCCTTCCCACACTGCCTTTTTTTTTTCCACAGGCGGACACGGACATTTTAAACCTGCCCGTGGACAAGATGGACTTTTACGTCCCTGGATGAGCTCTGGCTTGGAGCTCCATTCCGTTCCTAGTGTCGTGCATCCCGTTGGACTTCCGCTCTTTACTCCAAGTCACATGTGCTTCTGCCATGCCATGTCTCCCAGCTGTCTTCTCTTTCCGCCGGCTGCCCCGCGCCAATGGGATTCTCAAATCTACTGCAGGGTGTGTGGTTACGTATGTTAATTGTACATAGAAAGGCTCTGTTGTGATGGAAGCACTGGTCATTGCCCGATATGATCATGTTCTGCTCGTGAAGCCGCATCCCGCCTGGGATGCCGCTGCTGCTGTAGTGTTACAATGTTAGATATAAATTCACTGGAACAAGGTTGTGGTGCGGTGTTTTGAATGTGGTTGGGGTACCATGTGCAAGGTCGCAGAGTGGGTTGGGCACCGCAAGAGGACTGTTTCAAGCCTTTTGCTTGAACTGCAGAACGTGTGGATGGTGGGCGTGGTGCGTGCTTGGTATGTACAGTTGTTGGAAACAATCAGTCCTAAGCGTCTCTGTCGTGTCGAAACACTAAGGCACAAGCGAAGCAAAGCATATCGAGGAACCAGCGAGTCAACCCTCGGAGTTTGAAGTAATCGCTGGAGGTTACGCGAAAGTCAAAATTGAGAAAGCCTGCTTTCTTTCTTATCAATTGGCATCGTTCTCATTACAAATGGGTATTACAACATTTGCATCATCGTTCGACATAAGCTAGTGCGGACTAATAACACTAGCTATTATGTACCCTATCCAAGTGGCATTAGCAAGGCGGTTTACACTGGGGTGGGTGGTGGGAATGTTGAGTGAGCCGTTTGAAAATTGAGAAACGTGGGTGGAGGGAAATGAGCTCCAACCCACGGTTTTTGTAGTTGGAGAAGGGCGTTTAGCGCGCTTCGACGATGCCAATTGTGCAGTACAAGCAGCTTCGCTTTCACAATACACAATTTTAAAAAACACTACATGTGTGTTTAAAAATTATAATGGTCAGTAACCTTTGACCTGACAAGTACAGCGCGACAGCAAGGACACACAACTGACTCGTTACATAGCAGTTGCCCGAGTCGTCACTGTATCGAACCGCAACAGCAACAGTAAAGTAGTTATAACTGTGTCTTTTCATATTCCCTGTATTCATATATAATCTTGTATCTCCTTGTTTTAATCAACTTACTTTGCCCTCACATACTAGCGCAAGGTGGTTCACAACTCCTTATTAACGCTTCCGCTACTACACCAACTCTACCCAGAGTTCACCCCTGCAAAGATCCTTAGGGCCTTTTTCAGCCCAACATGGTATGAGAGCTATCAGGGGGAATTCAACTTCTATACCAAAAGTATCAATCAGCATGGCTACACAAAAAGAAAGGAGCAACTCCAACGGCTCCCAGGGAACTACTCCTACTCCACCTCCTGCCTCTGGCCTACAGACAGAGGAGGGCACGGCAGCAAGACCCAGAGGAACATCTACCGAGACTCCTGCGAATCAACCTGCAGACTTCGACCAGAGCATGATGGAGAAGTTTTTCTCCTTCATCTCCTTCTACGAGCAACACCAGCAATCAGCACATGCGCAGTCACACAACAGCAACAACAACGGAGCAACACCCATGAGTCTCGACGGCTCATCATATGCACGAGGAAATCAACAACAGCAGCCTACCTTTGCTCTGTACGAGCGCGGGTCCATCAGCTTCATGCCACACCCACAGCCCTCACCTGGACAAGAAAAACCACTGGACGCATTACAAGTTCAGTCGCAGTTCGCTCACGTTCTGAAGATGCAGACGTCAAGACCCTTCGATGGAAAGGACTTCTTCACCTGGTCGTTCGAGTTCGAGCTGATGATGGAAGGCGCGCAGATACTCGGGTTCTTCGACGGGTCTCTGCCATACCCAACAAACGGCACACATTACGAGAAGCAGCAGTACACGTATCAGTCAATGATGGCGTATACGATCCTACTGAGGAACATCACCCCGACTCAACAACAGAACATAAGGACTTACCGAGGTTACGGCAACTCTGCGGAGCTCGCGTACAACCACCTGAAGAGCTTGTATCAAGCAACAGACAGCGTAAGTCAAAGTCGGTTAATGGCACAACTGACAACGGTTGAAATGAAACCAAGGGAGAAAGGAATGGCGTATATCAGTCGATGTCGCGAGTGGCGCGACAAGCTTCTTCGATGCGGAGGGTCGATTTCTGAAGACGCCTTCGTGACAGTCATCATCGGCGGCCTCGGTCGTCAATGGCGCGCCACAAAGGCCATCCTCCGAGCTCACGGAAGAATCTCCGAAGCAGCGCTCTGCGCCAAAATCCATGCCGAGCAGCAAGACATGGACCTGCAAGAAGAACGACACAGAAAGAAGACATCAGCACCGGAATTCGCGTTCCACAACCAGCGACGCTACAACAGCAACAACAACCGGCAGCAACAACCGAAGCCAGTACCTCCGTTCTGCCACATCTGCAAAACTTCAGGACACCCGCGTACACACTGCCCGAATCGTCAACAGTCAACAACCCCACAACGGCAACTTCGACCTTCAAGCAGCCAAATCGCCTCAACGCAAGTAAATCCCACGACTCAGATTCAAGCTTCAACGATCTCAACAGGACAACCTACACAAGGAGCAAGAAACTGTCAGAATCCCAACCACTAGACCATTGGGATAAAAGGGCTTGTTAAGTAGCGGGTCAGAGTGCGCCCATAACCCCCCAGGCAAACGCGCCTGTAACCCCCCGTAGGATCAATCGGGCATCCACAGTGCAGATCTACTGACACCCCCCCACACTTGGAGGCCCAGGACTGAGCACAGCGGCAACGGCCTACATGTGCATACACCGGGATTCGAACCCGAGACCACTCTGACACCATGTCAGAATCCCAGTCACTAGACCATTGGGATAGAAGGACTTTTTTTTCAGTAGCGGGTCAGTGCGCCCATAACCCCCCGGGCGAACGCGCCTGTAACCCTCTCCAGGATCAATCGGGCATCCACAGTGCAGATCTTTTGACACCCCCCCACACTGGGAGGCCCAGGACTGAGCACAGCGGCAACGGCCTACTTGTGCATACACCGGTAATCGAATCCGAGACCGCTCTGATACCATGTCAGAATCCCAACCACTAGACCATTGGGATAAAAGGGCTTGTTAAGTAGCGGGTCAGAGTGCGCCCATAACCCCCCAGGCAAACGCGCCTGTAACCCCCCGTAGGATCAATCGGGCATCCACAATGCAGATCTACTGACAGAAACATCGTCAGCTGCATGGCAAAGCTGACAGACTCCTACATCACCGAGTCACCACCACAATACTCACCGGAAGAACAACTCAACGAAACCACACCCCGCCGCGAGTCACTTCAGCCGAACCCGACATACGCCGCCATCGCCCAAAGCGAACCATCCGGAAGGGACACATGGCTCTTGGACAATTGCTGCGGACAGCACATGTGCTCCTCGGGACGCTTCATTCAACGAGAACACCAACTTCAACGCGAAGTTGTCATTACAGTCGCCAACAATCAGAACCTGCGAACACGACGACAAGGCGTAGTTCAACTTCAATCAAGGGAAACAAACGTTATACTGCAGATGTCAAAAGTACTAATCGCGGAGGGACTCGGCTACAACTTACTGAGCGTCAGTCAGCTAATGGCGAAGGGGATTCACCTCGAAGTAGACAGCACCACCCAAGAATTCAAGCTGTATCACGGGAGAGGAGGACTCTACATCGGCAAGGCGGTCCTCAAGAACAACGTCTTCGTTATTGATTTCGTTCCTGACCTTGGCACCGCCGACAGCGACGCCATCGTCAACTTCACCAACTGGACACACCCTCCAGACCTTGATCCAGACTTCAGTCCAGAAGGCTTCTGGTATTCACACACCATCCTTGAAGCAGAAAGAACAAGGGCATTAGCAACAATTCAGACAACATCAGCAGCAGCAGAGACAACGTCGGCAGCAGCAGAGACAACATCGGCAGCAGCAGAGATAACATCGGCAGCAGCAGAACCATCAACGGCAGCAGCAGGAACGTCAACACCAATCGCTGGTCCTTCAACGACACCGCTCCTCATCGACGACACACCACCAACACCCGCGAACAACTACACCCAGCACCACGAGAAGTTCATCGTAGCGCCAACTTCACCGCCAACTTCTACTCCAACTCCGACATGTACCGACGATCACCCAGACATCGCGCCGACGAAAGCACCTGGCACGCAAGGATGGGACATCCAAGCAACACAGTATTAAACAATACAATAAGAGCAGGAGTACTCGACAAGGACTCACTCCTACTGACCGACGGACGAGAACTTCAACGAGTACGCAGAACGTGCTTCACCTGCCCTGAAGGTGACTTACCACATCGACCGTTCGCGCCTCATCACAACCTGAGCGCTCCCGCGTACGCACCACTCGAGAAGGTGTATAGCGACATCCTGTTCAATCGGGAACCAGGACAAGTAACATACAACTGCACGATCACCTTCATCGACGCCGCCACCCGTTACGTCTGGCACCTAAACCTCCCTAGCCGCGACATGGCATTCGCAGCCTTCGTTGCCTGGCTACCAGTAGTAGAGAGAGAATCGGGCATGCAACTGAAAAGCTTCCAGTCGGACGGAGGAGGAGAATATACCTCTCAGCGATTCAAGTAGTACTTGGCGGAAAGGGGAATCAAGCAGCTCATCTCCCTTCCCTACGCCCATCAGCAGCAAGGTGTATCAGAAAGAATGAACAGGACACTGCAGAACAGCATGCGCAAACTGTTACGTGGCATGCGGCTACCCAACGACCAGTGGCCTGCAGCAATGGACCACGCCGTCATGCTGCACAACTTGCTGTCGTCATCATCGCTTCCGAACAACGCATCACCGCATCTGCTATGGACACGGAAACAGGGCAGCACAAAAATGTTACGAGTTTTCGGATGCATGGTACAGTACCGACCCCCAGCAGCACGAGCGGGCCGATTTTCTCAACGAGCATAGTGGGGAC